TTCCTCATGGTTGACAGGACTTATGGGTTTTGACAGCTTTGCCTATTTTTAATAGGATTGTTTTCTTATTGTTGTTTTGAGAGTTCTTTACATGTTATAGAAACAAGTCTTTTGTCAAATACCTGATTTGCAGATTTTTTTCTCTCTGTAGCTTTTCCTTCCTTTAAGAGTGGCTTTAATAAAAGAAAAGATTTAAAATTTGGTGAAATCTAATTTATCAGTTTTTTCCTGTATGGGTCATGTTTTGGGGGTCATGGGTAAGAACTCTGTAAAACACCAGGCCATGAATATTTTCTTCGAATTTTTTTCCAAAAAATCCAATTAGAGCTAAGTGTATCAAGTAAAGGGTTTAGGCTGATGTGTATTTTTTTTTTAGCATAGGTGTTCCAATATTTGTTGAAAACATTGCCCTGTTCAGTTGAATTGCTTTTGCATATTTACCAAAAAAATCAGATGACCTTTTTTGTGTCAGTGTATTTTGGCATTCTGTCTTCTGTTCCTTCTGTGTGTCGTCTTCACTAATTCAACATTGACTTTATTTTTTTAACTTTACAATAAGTCTTAAAATTGGGTAGTATGATTTATGCAGCTTTATGCTTATTTTTCAAAGGTGCTTTAGCTATTCTGAGTCCTTAGCCATTCCATGTAAATTTAAAAATCAGCTTGGTATATCTAGAAAAAAATCCTGCTGGGATTTGGATTGATACTGCATTAAATGTACAGATCAATTTGGGAAGAAGTGACATCGTTACCATGTAGAAACTTCTAATCCAACAACACTGTATGTTTTCCATTTATTTGGGTTTTCTTTTCTTTGATCATCATTTTGTAGTTTATAGCATACAGATCTTGTACATTTTTGTTAGATTTATACTTAAGTATTTCTTTTATTTTTTGAGCTATTGTGAATAATACTATTTATTAAAATTTTGATATACAATGTATATGGCTAATACACTGAAATACAATTGACTTTTTGTATTTTGACCTTATTCCTGCAAACTTGCTTAACTTATTAGTTCTAGGATTTTTTTTTATTCTGTGTATTTTTTATATAGACAATCCTTTCATCTGAGAACAGGGACTGTTATATTTCTTCCTTCCCAATCTGCATGTATTTTATTGTTCTACTCTATTGCACTTATTGCTAAGAATTCCGTCCTATGTTGAATAGGAGTGCTAAGAGTAGACATTCTTGTCTTGATCCTGATCTTATGGGGAAAGAACTTGGTCTTTTACCACTAACTATAATGATAGGTTTAGGTATTTTGTAGATGTCATTTATGATGTTGAAAAGTATCATTTCTTGTCTTAGTTCTCTGACATTTGTAAAATAATGAATGGATGTTGTGTTTAGCCAAATGTTTTCTCTGTATCTATTTATATCATCCCATGTAGCTCATCCTCTTTTGATCATTTACATTGATGAAATTTTCAAATATTGAACCACCAGTGAATTTCTGGGATAAACCCCAATAGGTTGTGTTATTTTTTTTTTATATGTTGCTTGATTCATTTTGATAATATTTTGTTGAAAAAATGTTTTGTGCATGTTCATGAAGGATATTGGTCTGTAATTTCTCCTCCCCTTCCTCCTCCTCCTCCTCCTCTTGCTATTGTTGCCTCCTATTTTCCCTCTCCTTTTTTTCATACTATCTTTGTCAGGTTTTGGTATGAAGATAACTCTAGCCCCATAAAATGAGTTAGGAAGAACCCTTTCTCTATTATTTCTAGAAGAGATTATGTACAATTGGTGGCATTTATTCATTAAATGCTTGATAGAACTTTCCAGTGAAAATATCTGGGCCTGCAGATTTTTGCTAGAAGTTTTGAGCAACAAATAATTCAATCTCTTAAATAGTTCTAAGACTATCATGTCATAAGTTTCATCTTGCACAAGTTTTGCTGGCTTGCGGTTTTGGGGGACTTGGTTCATTTCCTCTTTGTTTTCTAATTTATGTATATAAGTAGTATTCTCCTAATATCCTGTTAATGTCGGCAGAGTCTGTAGTGATATCCCCCTTTTTTAATACCTGGTAATGATCTGTGCCTTCTATCTCTTTTTTTTTTTCTGAGACAAGTTTTTCTTCATGTTTAGCAATTTTATTGATGTTTTCAAATATCCAGATTTTGGTTTCATTGATTTTTGTCTATTTTTTTTTTTTACAATTTCATTGATTTCTGTTCTTTATTATGTCTTTCTTTTCTGCTTGATTTCTGCTTATTTTTTAAAACTGCCTTTTAAGGTCTAAGTTTAGATTGTTAATTTTAGACTTGTTTTATAATATAAGCATTATATTATAAATATATAATACAAACGTCCCTCTTCTCATGGACTCAGCTCTGCCACATAAATTTTCATACATTTTATTTTTACTTACTTAAAAGTCTTTTCTTTTTTTTTTTTTAAATTTTTTTTTTCAACATTTATTTATTTTTGGGACAGAGAGAGACAGAGCATGAACGGGGGAGGGGCAGAGAGAGAGGGAGACACAGAATCGGAAACAGGCTCCAGGCTCTGAGCCATCAGCCCAGAGCCCGACGCGGGGCTCGAACTCACGGACCGCGAGATCGTGACCTGGCTGAAGTCGGACGCTTAACCGACTGCGCCACCCAGGCGCCCCTTAAAAGTCTTTTCTAACATCTGTCAAGATATATGACCTGCATACTATTTAGAATTGCATTGTTTGATATGTTTGAAGCTTTCCTGATATATTTCTGTTAATAATTTCTTGTTTAATACCATTATGATCAGAGAACATATTTGTATAATTTCAATTTTATTTTAAATGCAAAGTTGTTGTATGGCCCAGGATATGGTCTGCCTTGGTGAATATTCTATGTGCATTTGAAAACAATGATTATTCTGCTGTTTGGGGGTAGACTGTTCTATAAATGTCAATTAGACCCAGTTGGTTGATGGTGTTTTTCTTTTGGGTTAGCCTGTTTGTAGTCCAGTCAGTCTCTTGAATTTATGAGCTTATGCCTTTTGCCAAATTTGGGAAGTTTTCAGCCATTATTTCTTCAAATGTTTGTTTAGCAACATCCTCTTTCTCTGGTCCTTTTGGGACTCTAACAATATGGATATTAGAACTTTGGTTGTCCCACAAGTCTCTGAGGTTTTGTTCATTTGTTTGCCAATCGTTTTTCCTCTGTATTATTCAGACTGGATAATTGTTATCACTTCATATTCAAGTTCACTAATTTTTCCTTTGTCTTCTCTCCATTATATTCTTTCTACCTAATGAGATTTTGATTTTGGTTATTATATAATTTCATTCTAAAATTTCCATTTGTTTCTTCTTTATACCTTCTATTTCTTTCATGATTCTTTTTAACACTTATTTCAAGGATGTTCATGATTGTTCACTTAAGCACTTTTGTAATACCTGTTTTGAAGTCTTAAACATATAATCTCAATATCCATTTCATCTTATTGTCGGCACCTATTTCTTATATTCCATGCAAGTTGAGATTTACACGGTTCCTTGTTTGCCAAGCGATTCTGGCAATGGTATTGAAAAATTATTGTTTAGAGATATACAGTACTCAAAGATTCTATAAATATTTGATCTTTGTTCATGAGAGGGAAAAAAAAATAGCCTTAGTCTGATCAGTTAATATCATACAATTTTTTTCATTATCAAGTATAATTATTTTTTCTCCTGTTGGTACTATTATTTATCTGTAACGTAGCACTATATACTTATGTATAAGCAAAGATAAAATTCCCCCACTTGCAGAGAAGAAAAATAGTGTTTTCTTTTTCTCACATACAAGAACTACTAACTCTTCCCTTGTAAGGTTGACTAAAAGCAGGAAGCGTGCATAAGGCATGAGTGGCTTCTCTATTAGTTTTGCTAATTCACTTAAAATTTCTCCTCCTAGAAACTGATACACAAAATGTGACCACAATAAGGCATCTATATATTTTGCCACAGTGATGGTGACAATTCTTTAGGAGGAGCAAGGTCTTCTACCTGCCGAATTTAAAAAAAAAGAACTAAAAACAAGCAAACGACCAAAAAGAAAAGAAAAGTTTTAAAAAAGGAAGGAAGGAAGGAAGGAAGGAAGGAAGGAAGGAAGGAAGGAAGGAAAGAAGAAAGGAAGGGAGGAAGGAAGGAGCTATCAACTGACATTAGCATGTCTTTCAGTTGAGACACAAATACCTTTATGTTTATAGTGCTCATGGCCTTTTCATTATATACTGGGAGATTCAAGTTCTAGTTCTGCCACTTCACAGCTTGCAACCCTGCTCTGTGGACTACTTGCTCAGCTCTGAGATAGTGGTTATAATACCTCCCATGTGGGAGTTGCTCTGAGATTCAATAATGCATGTTAAAGATTAGAACCAAACATAGTGCCTAGCACACAGAGTTGGCAATATATCAGTGATAGATTTCCTTCTTTTCTTCCTTCCAAGAAGCAATCCTATTTATTCTGAAATAAAATTTATCATATTTAAAAGGGCTCTAAGGAAGATCCGAATTTCCTATAGTAACTCATTCTATAGAAAATATAGAAATATATAAGAAAAAACTTATATATAAGTTATATAAGAAAAAAGTCATAAAATCTAAGTGAATGTGAGTAATGTCCATTTAATGGGGTTTAGATATTGACTAAAGTTACCTCCTCTCATTAATCATTCTGAGATATCTAGTAATACTTGTAGGTTAGATGAAATGAAACATCTCAAATAGTTAAAAAATACCTAAATAAATGTGAACTACTTGACATTTTGGGGATAGATGGCATTGACACGATTTTTAAATGAAGTTAACATATCTTTGGCAAGTTAAGAGAACTTTAGCATTATTTAACACTACTTGAAATTTTACAACTTAATGAAGGTATGAACCAGATCTTTGATCTACCTGGGGAAAAAAACACATAATTTTCATTAAAGGAATTACAATAAAATTAGGAACTTTTGTGTAAGAACATTCATTTAGACAGTGGACTAAATGTTTTCTTAAAAGAAAAAACAATGTACTTACTTCTAAGATTATGAAGTAACATATCTAGCAAAGTCATAAATTTTGAATATTGAGTAACAGAAAAGTCCATTCCTCTAGCCCACAAAAATCCAGATACATAATAATCTAGTAGAATGGCTTCCTTTAAACAGGTTTGAAGGTTTTTGAAATTCAAAAACTTTTTCAATTTTCTGTAACGAAAAGAAAAATCCAGACATTAAAATCAGATTAGTGAACATTTCCTCTTCTACGTTTTAAAAACGCAGATATTTCTCTTGAATTAAAATTATATAACGCCCTGAATCTAAAACTATCCCTAAGTTACGTCAAAATCCTAAGTCTAAAATGACATTCAAAAGGGAAACAGAAAAAACAACAACAACAAAAAAGGAAACAAGAGAGGTAAGAAAAGAAAGAGATGAAGAGAACAAGCATGAGCACTCTTTTTGGGCTTCTTCCTCCACTTCTTCTATTCTTCTCATTGTTCTCTTCACCTTCTTCCTCTTCTTCCCCTTCCATCTTCCAAGTATATAACTTTACTAGCATTTTTTTTTCTCCAAAATTCAATTCCTTTTTCCATTTATATGATCAAATTTATTTCTGACAATGTTCTGGAACTGTATTGTGAAATATTTGTTCTGTTTTCTTTCTTTTTTTAATATTTACTTAATTTTGGGAGAGAGAGAGCATGAGCACATGGGGGAAGGGCAAAGAGAGAGGGAGGCACAGAATCCCAAGCAGTCTCCGCAGCTGTCAGGGCAGGAGCCTGAAGTGGGTCTTGAACTCAGGAACCGTGAGATCATGACCTGAGCTGAAACCAAGAATCAGACACTTAACTGACTAGCCACCCAGGCACCCCTGTTCTGTTTCCTTTTTTAAACAATTCCAATTATGTCTATTTTACTTATTTTGCCTATGGCTATAATTTCTGTTAACCTTCAAAAATTTTTTCAAATCATTGCCTTTTCATTTATGTATCTTTCTCAATACAGTTCCTTAGTGTTTTCAGCAGTTTCAAACCCTTGGGCTGCTAATACATCTCACCTCTATAAGAACTGTGTTTTCTATTCTTTGCTGTTTTACATGTTTTATCACCTTTTATCTCTTGTTATCTCTTCCTTGAGTTTTTGTATCTCTGTTTTATGCTCTTGTTGTGATTGTTTCATAAGTTTCTTTTTAGTTCATGATAAATATTTGACAGTATATTTTATGTACTCATGGCTATGTTCATTTGGTTGTATTTTCTTTGCCTGCCAGGTTTTTTACCCCTTACTCTTCAATTATTTAAAAATTTTTTTTAAATATTTATGTTTGACAGAGAGAGACACAGAGCATGAACGGGGGAGGGGCAGAGAGAGGAAGACACAGAATCTGAAGCAGGCTCCAGGCTCTGAGCTGTCAGCACAGAGCGTGATGCAGAGCTCGAACTCACAGACTGTGAGATCGTGACCTGAGCTGAAGTCGGATGCTCAACCGACTGAGCCACCCAGGCACCCCTCTTCAATTATTTTTTAAATGTCATTGTATGCATATTCTTTGTTTTGTACTCAAACCTGCCCAAGTGACAAGCTACAAAATAAGTTTGTTCCAATTATTCCAGGTTATTACTCTTTTTTCAATTAGTGGGTTAAAAGAAAAGAAAAAAGTAGGATAGGTATTCATTACCATCACATAAACAATCTATTTCTTGTAAATATGGCAATTATCTGTTCCAAGCCTGTGCCTCCTCATCCTGATGTTGCATACAAGGTTCTTGAAATGGCACTTCAGGTTTTTCTTCTGATCTAGGAGAATACTTATCTTTTTTAAAGCTCATTCTAAGATCTTTAACTATGTATATCCTTCTTGCTCTTTCTCCTCCACTCCTGCTTGATCTATAATGCTTCTGGCAATCATCCTCACATTTTGTAGTTTGGATTTACAGCATTCCCCTTGTTTGGACAAAGAAGTGATTGGTATTTCCTCATTGCTTAATAGATTTCTGAGGGAGCATATGTGGGTGTGTGACAACTTTATACTGCCATTTTCACAAACAGGAAGTCTTTATTATTAATAATATTGAAATAGATTTTATGATCAGAATGATAAATACAGCAGGATTAAACAAGTTTGGGAACAAATGAAGCTGGTGTTGTGTTTAACTCTCTAACATCCATCTCATCTATAGTGGTATCAAAGTAGACCTCAATGCCAAAAATGAGTTCTGACTCTTCTAAACCAATTGTGATACTCTCACCCCCATCCCATCATGCCATAAAATGGCATTCCATATATGTATTCCCTATAGTAACTATTGGTGTATGGTGAACACTCTCCTAAGTGTTTGAATTCATAACTAAGGATGAGGTTTACTTTCTTCTGTGGAACAGAAATACAAAAAAGTAAATAAATACATTTGACCACTACTGGTACCCATCTTATAATCATAAGAAAAATCAGTCCCCAAATTATACTCATTTCTTGATGATACCACTGAGGCCTTGCATCAATCAACTCTGGACTCAATCTATCTTTGAAAGTTCTGTTATTGGGGCGCCTGGGTGGCGCAGTCGGTTAGGCGTCCGACTTCAACCAGGTCACGATCTCACGGTCCGTGAGTTCGAGCCCCGCGTCGGGCTCTGGGCTGATGGCTCGGAGCCTGGAGCCTGTTTCCAATTCTGTGTCTCCCTCTCTCTCTGCCCCTCGCCCGTTCATGCTCTGTCTCTCTCTGTCCCAAAAATAAATAAACGTTGAAAAAAAAAAAAAGTAAGTTCTGTTATGTATATTTTACATATACATAACATTGTCTTCTGTTTCCAACAGTTAGTCTTCCTTCTAACTGCACTCTTCATCTGCCATCTCCATACGTTTTTTAAATATTAAATATTTGACTTAAATAGTTACATGTGCTCCTTGCCTTTCATTTTCATTTTTTCAGTGTTTTACTGTATGTAAATGAAGGCAACTATTTGTCTAAGAATATCTTAGTGAAACTTCTTTGGCATCCCTGTATCTTTGCTCTCCCTCATCCCCCTGCCACCACTTCCCCTAGTACCATTTGAATCTTAACCTTCAACTTGAATCGCAGGGCCAAATATTAACCATTTCTATTCTTTGTTCAGTCATTTCACCCCAAAGGAGATTATGCAGGGAAGCACTTGGAGCAAGATGCTGCCACAGTCTGAATGCAAAGCTTCCACGCATTTTACTGGCAAACTTGTAAGTTTTTCCTCTGGGGATAAGAAGAGACGGGACATGGGAGAGGGGAGAGATGGCTATTGTTGTGGCATTAGAGACTACAGGAAAAGAGAAAGATGCTTCACAGGGATCTAGGAAATTGTGCTATAGTGATAGGTGATGTAACTATCAACTTTGTCTCACCAAGAATTCCAGTGAAAGCATTACATTATTCCTACATGCTCTTGAAATTGGAGTGCATCTTATTTTTTAAATATGATGACATGCAGAAATAAGCCTTAAGGCAGGAGCTGCACAGCACATGAAGGCCCAGTTATGGAAAGGTTATTAAAAGATCTTTCAGGGTTATTTCTGTGTTCAAATAGTTATTTTCAATTTAGTCCTTATCCTTTTTTTCAAAAAGGATTTGGGCGGATCTGTAAAAAATCAGGGTTACATTAAAAGCATGAATGATTGATAATAGGAGATCATGAGAAATGTATGCAGACATTTAACTTCACTTGAAGTGTACTCTAGAAATATGTTTTAATGATACTATAATGTTTCATTTGGTTGGCTGCTTTCATGAAACACAATTTTTAATTTTAAAAGCTAAGGAAATGTGCTGATTTCCTGTAATTTATTTAAATAGGTTTATAGCTTTGTAGACTGTATGATTTTGGCATACTTCTGTCACTTGGTGACAGGATACCTAAATTATATTTCTGTCATTTTGAAAGGTATGTAATCCCCATTTATAATAATGCTATTTTAAATAGAAATGAATGATTGATTGCAAATATTTCAGGATTACTGTTCTAAAAATCACATAAAGAACCTCAAGAAAATTACTTTGCGAAGAAATGGCTCCTGACATAACACTGTCATTTATCCAAAATTGATATCCTAAAATATGAGATTACTTCAGGTGAATTCTATTAATGAGAAAGTCTAAAAGGTCAACCTGCATTGAACCTCGTTGCTTCTATACTGCTAACTTCTGTATCACCCTCTGTATCATTTCTTTTATCCTAGAAGTCACCTCTTAAAGACTGAAAATACTTTTAAAATTTAAATATTTAACAACAAACAGAGCCAATAAGTGGAAAAAAAAAGATTGTCACACAAGGTATGCGATGCAGTAAAACTTAAAATTTGGTAAGAAATGAGTCTAAAAACAATTTGTTTGCAATACCTTTTATTTAATATTAATTGCATTTAATAAAACATCTTTAATATTTAATACAAATAAATTGTAAAATATATTAAATATCTGTCATTTGCATCATATTATTTTGCCCAGTATTAAATAACCTATGTTTTGCATTTCAATGACCAACATTTGAGATTACCTAGAAATGGAAAATAATATTTTATTTACTAAGCACAAATAATCAGGGATACCATTACAATGAATGCAGTTTACTAATCAATTCTCACACTAAAAACCAAAATTCCCAATGGGTATTCATTTCTTTAAAAACGGTAAAATCATCATGAGATACTTGTTTAAATATCTGTGAAATTTTTTAATTGACTGACTAATACTTATAAAGATATAGATAGTAAGCAGTATGGCCAAATCACAGGTCACCAGGATTTCTAGCAGGATTTGCAGGCCCTGAAGGTAAAGAGCATCGTGGGAAAAGGCCTGTCAGTGTCATTTGCCTGCTCTTAATATGCCTTCTCTTCTCAAATTTCTCTTCCAGCCAGTACATCTGTCATATTTTCTTCTCAGTAGTAAATCACCTCTATTTCACAATATTTGTAAGATCTGCAAATGACAGACACTGACAGGATCATTTTCTGTTTGTCCATTATGGTCCACAATACCCTAACATCCGGACGACAGGCCTACAGAAATCTTATGAGACATTATAATCCAGAACATCACATCATTCCCACTCTCTACACATTATAGTCAATGAGGTTTCCATTATTAGAGCAACATAACTTTTGAAATGACTGATTATTCAAAACACGTTTTAGGAACTTGTGTGTTAGATATATCTAACTAGAATTCTAAGTAAATAATTTGCTGTAGAAATCAATGGCCTTAAGAATGAGATGTACATATACTAGAATTGTTGCCCATAAATTCAGTTTTACTCACATTTTTAGGCAAAATATATGAAATCAGAGTATTTAGTATAGCTTCATATCTGACAAAAATCCCAGGTAGATGGCTTAATACTCAGGATTTCCAAAATATTAAAATGTATTAATTATTAATATTACAAAAAGTACAACTTATCCTTGTCACAATGAGACAGAAGACCTAAAGGTTATTGTGCATATTGAAAGTTTTATGAATGAAAAAGAAAAGAAGCAGAAGACAGCATATGTTAAAGGCTGCTTTTAACAATAAATCCTTACTCTCTCTTAACATTAACACATTGATCTGAAATACATTTCTCCCACAAAAAAGATAGCTGAGCAGTGTAAAAAGTCAGTTGTTTGAGAATTTTCATGTCCCAGACTCTGGATGGAGATATATATAATTATATATGCACATAATCTCCAGAGTATATATATTTGCCTGATACAATAACTCTTTTTTAAAAAGTTTAAAATTTCTAATAGCATTTCATGGCCATTTATAGATGCAGAACTAGAACTGTTCTAGATTTCGTTGTAATATTGAAGTGCTTACTGTTGAACTCCATTTATGTCTTCTGTTAGCATTTCAGTGATTTGAGCAGCTGAAAGAAAATCTGGAGACAGAATCTTTTCATGCTCCTGGAATTCAGCATCTCTCTACCAACAACAACAACAAAAAAAGGTGGAATGAGTTATTTCAATCACATGTTCTACATATTAATCCAATGATATGAAAATTTGTTCTGTGTTCTAGTTGCAATAAGAAATAAAATTTAAATATGACAGTTTTCCAGATAATCATTTTTCTCCTCTGTTTTCAAGTAATGGTACCTCTCTTCTGAAAAGTTGAATTTCTAGTTAATTTGTCTTTTACGCATATTTAAAACTGGGTGATGGCTTTCAGTTAACAAACTTCTTTATGATAGTTTGGCTATCATAAATATGATATTTATGGCTACCATAAGTAATGCTGCAATAAACATAGGGGTGCACGTATCCCTGTGAATTAGTGTTTTTGTATTTTTTGGATAAATACCCTGCAGTGCAATTACTGGATCATAGGGTAGATATATTTTTAATTTTTTCAGGGACCTCCATACTGTGTTCCAGTGGCTGCACCAGTTTACATTCCTCCAGATAGTGCATGAGGGTTCCTTTTTCTCTACATTCTCACCACTTGTTATTTCTTATATTTTTGATTTTAGCCATTTTGAGGTGGTATCTCATTGTAGTTTTGATTTGCATTTCCCTGATGATGAGTGATGTTGAGCATCCTTTCATGTGTCAGTTGGCCATCTGGATGTTTTCTTTGGAGAAATGTCTGTTCATGTCTTCTGCCTGTTTTTAATGGGATTATTTGCTTTGGGGGTATTGAGTTGTATCAGTTCTTTATATATTTTAGATACTAACCTTTCATCAGATGTCATTTGCAAACATCTTCTCCCATTAGTATTTTGCCTTTTAGTTTCAGTTAGTTTTGTTGATTGTTTCATTTGTTGTGCAGAAACTTTATTTTGACGTAGTCCTAATAGTTCATTTTTGCTTTTATTTTTCTTGCCTCAGGACATATATTTAGAAAAATGTTGGTATGGCCAATGTCAGAGAGATGACTTCCTGTGCTCTCTTCAAGGATTCTTATGGTTTCAGGTGTCATATTTAGATCTTTAATCTATTTTCAGTTTATTTTTGTGTATGGTGAAAGTGGTCCAGTTTCACTCTCTTGCATGTGGCTGTCCAGTTTTCCAACACCATTTGTTGAAGAGACCGTCTTTTTCCCATTGTACATTCATTCCTCCTTTGTTGAAGATTAATTGGCCATACAATTGTGGATTTGTTTCTGGGTTTTCTGTTCTATTCCATTGATCTATGTGTCTATGGTATGCCAGTACTATACTGTTTTCAAGTACTACTGCTTTGTAATATAACTTGAAACCTGCAATTGTGATACCTCCAGTTTTTTCTCTTTCAAGATTGCTTTATTTGAAATCTTTTGTGGTTCCATACAAATTTTAAGATTGTTTATTCTAATTCTATAAAAAATGCTTTGGTATTTTGATAGGGATTGCATTAAATCTGTAGATTTTTTGGGTATTACATACATTTTAACATTGTTGTTCTTCCAATCCATGAGTATGGAATGTCTTTCCATTTTTTTGTGTCATCTTTCATTAGTGTGTTATAACATTCGGAGTATAGGTCTTTCACCTCTTTGGTTAAGTTTATTCCTAGATATTTTATTGTTTTTGGTAAAATTGTATATGGGATTGCTTTCTTAATTTCACTTCCCACTGCTTCATTATTAATGCACAGGAATGCAACAGATTTCTGCACATTGATTTTGTATCCTGTGACTTGACTGAATTCATTTATCAGTTCTTATAACTTTTTGGTGGTGTCTTTCAGACTTTCTCTATATATAGTATCACATCATCTGCAAATAGTGGGTTTTACTTCTTCCTTACTAATTTGGATGTGTTTTATTTCTTTATGTTGTCTAATTGCTGTGACTAGGACTTCCAATACTATGTTGAATAAAAGTGGTGAGTGAACATCCTTGTCTTGTTCCTGACCTTAGGGGAAAAGCTCTCAGTTTTCACCATTGACTATGATATTGGCTGCGGGTTTTTCATATAAGGCCTTTATTATGTTGAGGTATGTTCCCTCTAGACTTACTTTGTTGAAGTAGGAATAGATATTGTACTTTGTCAAATACTTTTTCTGCATCTATTGAAATGATCATATGGTTTTTATCCGTTCTCTTATTGATGTGATGTATCACGTTGATTGTTTTATGAATATTGAACCACACTTGCATCCTGGGAATAAATCCCACTTGATTGTGGTGTATGATTTTTTAATGTATTATTGGATTCGGTCTGCTAATATTTTTTAAGGATCTTTGCATCTTTATTCATGAGCGATAGTGGTCTGCAGTTCTCTTTTTTTTTGGTGGTGCCTTTATCTGGTTTTGGTATCAGAGTGATTCGGGCCTCAGAGAATGAATTTGGAAGTTTTCCTTCCTCTTGTATTCTTTTGGTACAGTTTGAGAAAAACAGGTGTTAACACTTCTTTAAATGTTTGGTAAAATTTGCCTGTGAAGCCATCTATCTGGTCCTGGACTACTGTTTACTGATTACTTATTCAATTTTATTGCTGGTAATTGGTCTGTTCAAATTTTCTATTTTTTCCTATGGCAGGTTACATGTTTCTAGGCAATCCAACAAGGAGATAACCACCCAGCAGTGACCAGCCTGCCACATGCCTCACCCAGATAAGCTGAAAACCCAGTGCAACCAGGGGTAGCAGAGCCACTTCTTTATTCTAAGAGTTTTGGTCAACAGGATTGGCCACCAATCCTCAACACAATACCAACATTCCAGAACTGCCATGAGGACACATCTACCCAGCACTGGAAAAGAAAGAAAAAGGGTTAGAAGCTGAAACTCTATTGTAGGGAAAGCATTTGGTGGATTGAATGTGCTGCTTATGGCGAGAACTTCCCAGAGAGTCACCAAAGGGCTGATCTTCCCCTCATATGTGTCTTGGTTTCTCCCAGTGACAGTCTAAAACCACTGTGGGGCTCAGAGCACTGGATGATCAGTTTTACGTGTGCATCCCAGGCAAGCCAAAAATGAATTATCATGGGGGAGATCTCCTCTATGGGACTGACACTTCCCTCAGTTCTGAGTCATCTAAGAACACCTTCTGGTGGGAAGGAGCAAGTGTCCTTTGTCTTTGGAGCTAAGTGAATCAGTCTCTTATTCTAGCTAACAGGCTTAAGAAAAACTGTCCAAGAGCTGAACCAGAGTCTTATGATTAAAATGAGACTAGGTTCAGGGCCAGCTAAAGAAATTTAGAGCACAAAGAGAATAGGAAGTGAGAACAGGTCCCCATATCAGTTCTCCCAGGTTTTCTTTTCCCCAGTGAATAGACCAGTTATTCAGAGAAGCACAGAGGCAAAAATTACATTGGCATTAAACCAACTCTGTTTCCCAGAGGAGGAACTTACTGATCCTAAAAGGTCAAATAAGCGGTGCTGTGCAGACTTAATTTGGGGGTACAACTGTTCCTCTGAGGGTCCCCTCATAATCACCAAGATGATTCAGGCAGCCCAGGTCCAAGGAACTCAGAAGTGGACCATTCAAGTGGGTCGTTGGCTTCCCACAGGATGGAAATCAAACATGAACCAAGAGGAAGAACAGAGTTTAGACAGAGAGACATAGAGAGAACATATAAACAGAGAGACACAGAGAGAACAGATACAGACAGAGGATCTGGAAAACTCAGAAAGGAAAGGAGCATGAGTCCTATCTTTGCTTGAGTATTCTGCATTTTTTTATGGAGGACAATGGTCTGGAATATGTATCTTCTTAGGCATCCAGGAATCGATAAAACAAGAATGAGTCAATTTACAAACTTTATAAAATATCTACATCTTCCTCATTGTGCTTGGGCTTCAAGAGGAGGCAAAGAAAAGTAAAACAAAACAAAACGAAACAACTTGTTAGCCTCACTATCTTAACGTCTAGTGGAAGGAACAAACCAAGGGTGACTTTAAGACAAGAAAATAAAATGAAAAGTGAGCCATAATAAAGAAACAAGAACAGAGACAGGCCAAGGAAAGCCTATAGACAGGAGGTCCAGAAATGGACGTTGGTGAGATTGGGCAAGAATGATGCCCCAGGTGGATGAATCGGCAACAGGATACTTGGGGACTGGTTCTATAAATATCAACTAATTCACACAATGGTGCCATGGATACAAGTCAAGGACTAGTTGGATCTAAGTGGGAAGTGGGCATGGAAACATATTGTGGGAGACCTCAAATTTAATAATTAAATAAATATTTGCTGATTACAACATGCAAGATACTGCACAAGAGATCACAAATATTTTAGACCTTGGCTGGTCAAAGAGTGATAGGCTGAAGAGTTTGTTTTTACTAATATAGGGAATAAGGAACCCATGAGATTTTTTAGCAGTCAAGTGACAAGATAAAATTGTGCTTTAAGGAAAGGCATTTTGTAGGAGGGTGAAGGACAGACAGGAGCAGAGAAAGGACTTAGAGGAGAGTTCAATGAAAATGTTTTTGAACTTTTCAGGAATGAGGCATCAGACTGCACTGGGTTCCTAGCAGTGTGCATGAAAAGAAAGGGGTGAATGCAACATATTATATATGGGGGACTACAAGAGGCCAGAATGAATAGAGGGTATGAGTTTTTGAAATAGATGACTGAAAGAGAAAGGCGGTGATTCTTAGGGCCTCCAATAGCACCTATGCCACCTTTGTGTGACCAGGCAACCTCTGTGAGTAGAGGATGTGTTAAAAGGTTTAAGGCTGATACAGCCCTGCCTCTAAGTGCACTACTTGTGAATACAGTAGTTTTACCTCCTGTTCAACCCTCAGCCATGTCCTGTTGTTCAGAGTACAGTCTGTAAGAACCATACGTGGCACTCTCATTACACCAATAAAAATGGAAGCATCAGAAGATGATGCTGGTTTTAAGAAGGCAACGTGATGAGTTTGATTTCAATGGTTGAGTTTAAAGTGGAATATGCATATCAAGGAAGAAATGCTTAGAAGGTAATTAGAAATGGTAGACTCAGAAAGGTCAAGTTTTAAAATGTTGCTTTAGGAGTCACTCCAAGTGTGAGGA